GCCGCGATGTGAAATACAAGGCGACTTAAAGCAGCGGCTTTAAGTCATGACACATATTACACGCGCCCGCCGCCTCGCGAGTTCGCTCTAATTGGCCCTTCATTACCATGCGATTAGGACGCGCGGTGTACACCGCAGAGAGACCACAATGAGTAATCGAGCCTTACGATAGAGCAAAGTTCGCTGGCATTGACGACCGACCGATCGACCGACCCTCCCCGCTGGCTAATCCCGCGGCCGGGCCCTTCAACCTTTAAAAAGCTCGCCGAGCACCGCGCGCGCCGTCGGAGAAAGCGGTGACGACGGAGGTCTCGCATGCATGCATGCGCTTAATCTACACGAGGAATCGACCCTCTTCGCCTCCCTCTTTTGCCTCCCTACCTTTTCCTCCTCCCCCTTCTCAACCACCAAGGTCACACATACGAATCCGAACGGTGCGGGTGGCTCGCCGTCGTGAACGGAGCGGAAGTAGCTTCCTCCACTCGTGAGCTCTCGAGATTCGTCCGATATCCGCCGGGCCATCGATCGTGTTCGCTCTTTCTCCCCTTCGCCACCCACTCTCCCTAATATCTCTAAACTTGCTCCCCCGTCCTTCCTATCGCCCGCGTCGTTTAATTGGAACAGGACGTTAGGCCGACCGACGAAAAAAACCGTACTGGGGAAAACTAGTTAAACGCCGCCGTCACGGTCGCATCTGCTCCCCTACCCCCTCCCCCTTCACCGTTTTTTTATGGGAGCACATTTATCAAACCGTTCGCTCCCACGCGAACGATGAGACGTCCACGATATTGCTCTTTAAGGGTGGCATTCCACTTTCTCTCGCTCTCTTCCTTGTCCCTCCATTCCTTCGACGATCGACGATTGGAGGGTTTCGTGAAGGAGGAGCGGAGAACGAATTAATTAAATTCGACTTTCACGCCTAGCGAGTTTATTCCCCTCCCCAGGAACGGTCCCGCTGCCGGTCAATGAACCTCGGCGCGAATCGTCGGTGAAAACGAGAAATGAGCTGAATTTATTTATTTATTTATTTATAGAGGAAAAGCAATCAAAACTGAGAGAGGTATGGTAAACCGACTTAATCATCGCTTCTCGGCTGCAAAGTATTAAACAGGACAGTACATGAACTTCGTCTACTGTACGCAGTAATTGGAGCTGAAGTGGTAGTTTCTGTTTGCAAGCACGCTCGGTTGTGTTATTAATGTCACTTGATTTTTTCCTTATACTGAGGTTTTATTGAGTTAACTTCTTGTGAAAATTGAAATAACAAATCGGCGGTAAGTTATTTATTTGACAATGGTATTTTATAGTGTAAGTTTCGCTGTTAAATTATTTATGATAACAACTCTCAAGTTAGGCATTGATATGTATTACATGTCAACGAAATCATAAATATTCCCAATCATGGATAATCGTTTCAACAATTTGAATATTCTGCATTGAGTGTGATGTCCTCTCACATAAAAGGGCGGGCAATTTTTAAGCAATCTATACGAAACATTAAACGAATCACTTAATCATCACGGTAGACGGGTGCGAGAAAAATGGGAAAATTGATACCTTCGCGCTTTTCGAAACGTATAAAAAACACGTATACATATTTTTCTCCCCTGAATGCCCAAGTATTCAAATATATTTTCGCGCGGAGAGTGCCTTCGATCGTGGTAGCATGGGTTGCAAAAAAAAAGGAATACATGTATATATACACATCAACGAGCTAGATTGTGAATCAAAATCGTAACGTTGAAATGGCCATCTATCATTTCTCCGAGTTTCCAATTTTTCCCGTAGCATCACCGGTGAAATTTTTCACGCTGCACCGGCTGTATTGCAATAACGCGTCGCAAATATATAATGCAGCTTTCTCACGTCGAGTATCGTTAAAGTTGCTATTGGATATTCCATAACGCTTTCGATATACGAGTTGCTACGCGCGTCCGGAAAACCGCGAGTAGGCGGATTATTGAAGAACCATGCAAATGTCGAGATTATATGAATATCAATTTCGTTGTCGAAAAATTATTCCGCTTTCCGGCGTTTCTAAGCGATTTCGACACTGAGAGAGAGAGAGAGAGAGAGAGAGAGAGAAAGAAGGGGAGAAAATAGAATGTTATTCGGTGATCTTTTCTGACAAATTTGACGGAATTCTATATATAACTGAAAGATAAAAATAAAAATGATATTAAAAGGTAGACAAGAGATTTGTATACACATTCTTCTATAACAATTGCATCTCTGTGAGCTTATCTGCGCCTACGAGCGACTTCGATGGAAGATTCAATTCGTGCCGCGGTCGGTAAGGATTATCTTTCGAAGATACGCAGCGACGTTTCGCTGTTGGGCTGACTCCGGCCAACTGATATTACCGTTCATTAGTAAAAGCGAGTTATTAACAGCAAGTCACTAAATACGCGACGATCCATTTAATCGTCATTCGATAACTAAATTAAGGAAATGGAAGAAAAATATTACGAAAACCCGCTAGTCTTTTAAGTCCGAGGTAATTAATAATCAATATTATCGTCCATAAATTAATTGAAAGTAAACCGAAAAAGCGCGAGAACTGGACAAATATCGAAATACATGGACATCGATGTATGTTTAATTAATTTAACGATAACTTCATGTACAGCTTGTATTTTGTATTATGACTTTTGTATTATGACTTCTCTCTCTCTCTCTCTCTCTCTCTCTCTCTCTCTCTCTCTTTTTATTATCATTTTTAATCTATTTTTTGCAGCAAGTTAAATTAGTATTATCAATATATTCCAGGTACCCAGAATTAAAAAAATATTTTTTTAACGAAATTATATGTTTCCTTTACATAAATATAAATTTATATAATATAATTATAATATTTATATAATATAATTATAATATTTATATAAATATAGATTTACATTAACATAAATAATTTTTCCCGACAATCTACGTATATAAATATTAAAATAAGATCAACAAAAGGTGAATAGCTTTTTATTAATAACTAAATATTATATATTTTATTTAAAAAAATATCCTGATGCATATCAATTGTAGGATGTTTTAAATGAGATAGGAAAGGTTTCAAAAGAAAACTGACTCAAATCGTAGAATCGAAGAAAAATCAAAGAGAAGCATTTAATGATTATTTTTGTGTCTCGGAAGAGACACATCCAAGTCTCGTCGTATCTCTTCCTATTCTGTTGTTATCTCATTGTCACGCCGCTCACGTTCTTTACGCTGTTTATGCTCACTTATTTTTTCTCGATCTCCGCCGAAACTTATCGACATATCGCTACTGCTATTACTATAACATTACGATGTTCACGCGTCTTAACTATTAAGATAGGTACGAAGAATATAAAAGAAACCCTAAAACTTAATTAATTCTACACAATATCAAATATGTCGTAAAAATATCCACATTCCGTTTATCTTATCTTAATATTATTACGTATAAAATGACTTGAAGAATGATAAATAATAATAAGAACAAGCAACGGAATTCGGCTTTAAAATTAATACCATCCTATTTAAATAACGTCCAATTGACCATCGCAAGATAAGGAAAAAATCGTTATAATATTCTTTTTCTTGAAGGCAAAGTGAGAAAAAAATATATATATGCACAAGCGTTTTTCAATCTTGACGACACAAATCGTTCACCAACGCTCACTCATTAAAACAATTTATGTTCTTTGATCGGACGGCAATAATAAATGCAAGTTGCGCAAAACAGGTTTCCTTCGACCCCAATGTCAATATATTATAATCAAATCATCAGGCAGTCACGTTCGCGTTTTTTATACATGATTAAAGCGAGTATTTCCACGTGTCGAGATAATATTCTCGTGACGGGAAATTTCATTTCGATTTCGTGTTCAAATAATCTACACGAAATCGACTTTTCAGGATAACGGAGCGAGCCTTTCTGTGAACGAAAGTAACATCATTAAATTTAATTCAATAATCGTCATTTGATAACTTAATTAAGAAAACGAAAGAAAAATATTACGAGCGCATTTTTTAATAAATTAATGATGAAAAAGTTGATTCTATAAATTAATATTTAATTCTGTAAATTAATCTTTTAATAATGCATACTCAATATTATGAATAATAATAATATCTCAATTAATAATATACTCAATATAAATATATTACTTTTACCCGTGTGGGACAAACTGATTGGCAAACACACGAAAAAACGAATATTTCTCCGTTTCATTTTCGTCCGCAACATTGGAGTTTTTAGTAGCTTGCCTCTACCATTTACTTTCGGATTTAACAAAGTAGCGTCAATAACACTCGAGAATCTCAGCTATAAACAACAGTTGTTTTATTTCTCGAGAAATCACGCGCCCGTACATGGTATCCAATTTTGGGGCGCGTGATTTTTTGAGGAATAAGACAACTGTTGTTTATAACTAAGATTCTCGCGTATTATTGACTACTTCGCTAAATCCAAGAGTAAACGGCGGTTGAACATGCTGTTATAATCGGTTAAATAAATATTCCTGCGGATCTGTCGAAGAAAAGAGTCGAAAACAATTCTGAATATTCAATACTCAACATGAAGAATTTACTTAACGTCATAATTATTAATTAATAATTACTTAATAATTTTCTATTATTACTTAATAATATAACTTAATATAAATATAATACTCCAAATAAATATATGTTGTCGCTTTAGTTAAATATTGAAATATCGAAAGAAACGCAGATCACGCGACGTGTCGCGAGATAAATAATTATTTCTGAGGATCCACTAAATAGAAAAATGGAAGCAAGGCAGGCGAAGGGTCAATATCAAATAGAGATATGACACGGCGCTGACGCATTCCTCCTATCCGCGGTAATTCGTGTTTGCGGACTGTCGAGCCGAAAGAGCAGCGCTACGAGAGGACAAAGAAAATCTTGCAATTCGCGAAAAGGCTCGCTCCGTGATAATTCATTACAACACCACGATCTTCGCAATCAGCACCGATAAAAGTGGGGACTCTCTCTCGCTGCTCGGTTTCTCCTCTCACTCTCTCGTCGTCGTCGCCGCGAGCGAGCTCGCAGCCGAGAGAGCTCTCGCGCGAAGTTGCGCGCACCTTTCGAGTTTCTGTGAGTTTCCGAGTCGCGGCGAGAGAAAACGGGCGGACGCACGCACGAGTGGCTGGTGCGACGAAATTGTGAATCAGAGCTTTCGGAGCTTCCCGAGCCCCTCCTGCTTTTCTCTCTCTCTCTCTCTCTCTCTTTCTCTCTCATCGTCGAGTGCCACGCGAATAATCCCGCGGGAATCATGGAGCGAACCGTGACGAATTTCGCGGACGTCTACTGCGACCGCAACTACGTGCCTTCCGCAATCGAGCACATAGAGAGTAAGTGACGTCGTCGATGACGACCTTGCGAGAAAGTGCCGACGGGCTTCCGGTATCGAAACCGTGAGGACCGAGAGTGAAATTGAGCCGAGCGGAAACTCGCAACTTCCCTCCGTCTTTCGCGATCTAAGCGTGCAATTAATTGTGCAAGCCAAACACGCCTCTTAATATGTAAATTTATGCGATTAATCGTATGATTTGACTGTTTCATAGCCGAGGATTAAAGAAATTTGTGATTATTTAAGTAAACCGTTCAAATCAGAGTTAAATTAATAGAAAATAAGGCGAACGGAGAAGTTTGAACTCTTAGCGGTTTTCGTTAATTCCATCGATCAAATGTCAAATATTTGTATGAATTATACCATTTATATAAATGAAATTTTATTAAGGTCACGAATTAAGATAAATTGAATTTCTGACATTATGATTTGCAAATTAAGATTTATGAGATTTATAAATCAAGTTATAAAGATTTAAAAATTGCATTACGTAATTATAAAGATTTATATTAATCTTGGGATATTTTAATTGAATCTTTCAATTAAAGTGAATTTAAAAATTACATAAAGAAGGGGAAAATAAAAGGCCAGCAGAGCTACAGCTCTTTTAATGATTTCGTAATCAAAATGTTTAACGATTGGCGAACTGTTAGGTGAGTTTGCACTTGTCACCTGCTTTCAATTCATCCTTTTGTCATGCCGAGTAATCAATAATCCTACTTTATCTTTCCCGTTCTCTGATCGTGGATGTATTGACTCTAATTCGACGGTGTTTACAGCGCGTGAAAAATCGCTCGATCTTTACGTGGGGCAGTGCTGTTACGACGACGGTGAACGTAGAAAGTGAGTTACGTGCGGTTAAAGCGGACGTTCCAAGTTTAAACATCGCAGCTGAAACATCGTAGCGCGGATAATAATAGAAATGCCGCGCGGTTAGACGGGGAATTAAAGCGTTTCAGGGGTCACAAAAACTCTCTCTTGCCGGCGTTAATATATATATATCGCATCTGCATAATTCGATAATTGCAGCTCGGTGGGAAAAACTATGATAATGCTTACCCGCAAAAGACACGCGGAAGTGTCATTATTACTCGCTCAGATTACTATAGTATAACAAGAAAGAATGTTATATAAATATATTCAGCCTCCAATTCGCGTCAATTTTACTGTCCCTTTTATTTACACGATCATTAATCTATCATTTTTAAGAATTAATTTACTGTTCCAGCTAAATGATATTTTTACTACACAACAAAATCGCGTAAGCACTTGTTTTAATCTTAACACTCAAACTTAACAAGAGCCGATATACTTTTGCACCTGAAGCGAAACTGCTATTCACTTTTTACGACGATAAATAATTTATCGCGAAAATATTACCCAAGATTACCACAAAATTATAAGGAGAAAAATATTGAGAGAATTCTCAGTTTTCAATATCGCATTATCCACTTAATTCAATTTTTATCTATAAATCCGTCATTAATTTCATTATGAAAAAATATGGTAATCTAACAATATTATCTTTACTACGCATGGAACAACGCAGAAGCCTCTTTTGATTGCCGATAACGCAACTTTTTGAATTTTTAAAATTGAATGAGAGTCCGTTCGCTGATGCACCTACAAAAATATTAATTTTTCTTTACGATACATGGAAAAAATAATTCCATTGATGTAAATGTTTCATTGATTGAGGAACGGACGAAAGCTTGGTTATAAAAACAGAAAGATTGATGTAAAAAGTTTGTATTTAGTCAATTGCTCTCAGTTATCTTAATCGAGTTTTAATGCAACCACATATTGCACACGAATGTTCTCGTTCTCAATAACAGAGCTAATTAATAAATATATGCGTCAGAAATTGCATCTATTTATCAGCTCGTCATAATAATTTTGTTTAACATGTTTGGTATCAGTAATTGTAATTTTAATTTACAATTACAGTTTTTTTTATCCTTTATCTATTTTGTCACCGAGTTATTATTTCTTGTCATCGAATTTTCATCTGGTCCTTCGATAGCAATAACTCTCGACATTTTTCTTTCGTGTAAAAATGAATTTACAGTCCGGCTGAAGCGAGCAATACATGGCGGCCGACATAAGCGCATTGGTGAAAGTCGCGACCCGGTGCTTGTCCATTACACACAAGGGACTCGTACACAAGTTTACCATGAACGGGTATAACCTGACGGTTACGTACTGCGCACTCGCGTAATGAAAGGATTATTGTAACAATTGTTGCACCAAATTTATTCAAAATTATTCCTTCCTAAGCGATTAAATGAATAACGCGCGGAATATGCAGCTTCTAACAGCAAAATGAAGCTAACCTTGAAATGAAGGTGAAGATGACACCAACAACGAGGTACGATGCGACGTAAGATTAATGAAATAAAAAAATATAGAGAGCTTTGATTGCGCAGTTGTATAAATTACATTTTAATTTGTTGACTATCATGGAAGTCATTACACAGTAATCAACGCTATAATATGACCGGGTCTCATTAATTCGCATATAAAACGAAAACCTCCCCAATTGCACAAACAATAAATTAAATATGTAGCCGAATGAACAGGGAGTCAATGAAAAGAATTAACAAATATACGTGTCACAAATTGCATTTATTTACCAGATCATCATGATAATTTTTTAACATTTTTTTGGTATTAGTAATTATTTTAATTTACAATAATGGTAATTTATTCAGCACATTTAACATTTTTTTAATATTTTAAACTAAAAATGGTAATTATCAAAAATTTGGTAATTTAAAGTTGAGTATTAAAATAATCATCTAAAATCAGCGTGTGAAAAGCCGATAACGCTGCGTGGGTTTGTACGGCAGACGATAACAATCCGTCGAAAAGAAACTCGATATTTTTATTTTAGTGCGGCACAATCGTGTCATGGTTCCGGAGAATCGCTGCGAAGCGATTCTGGGCCATAAATTCTCACTACCCGTTGTTTTCGCAACTTCTCATGTACCACATATGCACGGGCGCCGACCGCGCGATAACGCTCCGTGGGTTTGTACGGCAGACGATACATTTATTGTGAGGTAAATAAGCGGGTAAAATATTTTCGCACACTATAACTTATAAGCGCTCAGTAAACAATTATAGCATTCGTTGCTCATACTACCTGCTCGCGAAACGAAGAAGTCAGAGAACAATGTTCGATAAATCCGCGTATTGGACTACACATCATAGAGATACACATCATAGAGATTGAGATCGAGATCGAGATTAGAAGTTACAACATGTTTGAAGATAACTTGATTTTCCGCTTTAATAGTTCGCGTTATGACTAATAGTCGTAGATTATTGACGTATGGAAACTTACGTAATTTAAAGGAACGCGTAAACTATGCACAGTGTAATAAAAATTCATAGAACGTCCGCTAACTTCGCATAACTCTTCAAATCTATTCGTTTTTTACAAAAAACAACCTTATCTTCTTATTTTTTTTTTGTGGATAATGATGGTTAATGATGGTTAATGATGATTAATGATCGCTGACAACGCTTAAAACGCTCTGCCTCTTTTTATACGCAGATTTTTTCAGGGCACACATTATATGTTATTAGACTAATTATATGTTAATATTATATGTTATTAGACATATATTATGCATCTATCCATAAAATGTTAATGTATTATGTACATACATCTGAACTAAGCTCCGATAAAGTGATAAATCAACACTTATCAGATAAAAACTTACCAGGCTTTGTAAAAATCTATGTTGTCTGGATACAAGTATACAGAGAAAAATATTCTTATATTATAAGAAAAACAAATTAATTAATTTTTTTAAGTAATAATTTATTTTAAATAAAGAATATTTGTTTAATAAAGTATTAAAGTATATTAAAATATTAGAGAGAAGTTCATATTATCATTTATTCAGAAAAAATTTATTAAGAATATTATATACTTTATTGAAGAAAAATTAAATTCGGTTAATTGGAATATAATTTGGAAATAAAGTTTTATAAAAGTTATATAACGAAAATTTTGTAACAGTTATATTACAATTTTGTAATTTTACTATCTTTTTGTACATAACTACCCAGTCAACACATTTAGTTGCTGCTATATATCTTGATTTAATTATTATTATATAACAAATATGTTCTA